TTTTTTTTTTTTTTTTTTGCTTTTTACAGTTCACTGAGTTTTTGGTGTAAGTTTACACAGCAAGTTAGACTCCCATTTGAAAATTTCCCCACAAACTGTTTGGCAATATAGCTACATTCATCACAATGTGCTGACATTCTCTTTAACTGTACTCAATTTTTTCCCATCCAAGTACTTCAATTTGCTTGCATCCTTACCTTCTCATCTTTGCTTTTGAGAAATTATTGACCTTTTTGTTTCATGCCGATGATTTTTAAGCAGAGCACTGATCTTATGGGCAATATCTCTTATTTTGATGGCCTGTTCCACAGTATGCTGCTGGTCTTGTTTTGGCTGATAAGAGGGAGCTTTAACACAGTCTTTCCACAGACACAGTCCATTTGATTTCTGTGTATTCTATCTGGTGAGGTCCATGTGTAGTCAGTCGTCTTTCATGTTGTTTAAAAGAAAGGCACTTGCAATGAACAAACCACTGGTCTTGCAAAATTCTATCATATGATCTCTGGCATCGTTTATATCATCAAGGCCATATTTTCCAACCACTGATCCTACCTCTTTGTTTCGGACCTTTGCATTCCAATCTCCAGTAATGATCAATACATCTTGACTGCATGTTTAATCAATTTCAGACTAAAGAAGTTGGTAGAATAATTCAATTTCATCATCACTGGCTTTAGTGGTTGGTGTGGAAATTTGAATAAGTATTATTAACTGGTCTTCCTTGTAGGCATATGGATATTATCCTATCCCAGACAGCATTGTACTTCATTTCAGATCTTGATATATTCTTTTTGATGATGAATGCAATACCATTCCTCTTCAATTTGTTATTCCTGACATAATAAACTATGTGATTATCAGATTCAAAATGGCCAATACCAGTCCATTTCAGCTCACTAATGCCTAGGATATCAATGTTTATGCGTTCCATTTCATTTTGGACACTTTCCAATTTTCCTTGATTTTATACTTCGTACATTCCATGTTCTGACTATTAATGGATGTGTACATCTTCATTCTGAGTTCTGCCCCATCAGCAAATGAAGGTCCTGAGTGCTTTACTTCATTAGTGCCATCACGGTGAACTCTACTTTGAGAAGGCAGCTCTTCCTCAAATGTATTTTCAGTGTCTTCCAATCTGAGGGCTCATCTTCCAGCACCTTATTTGACAAAATTCTGGTGTTCTTCATGTTTCAATATTCAATAATCTGGTACTGACAGTGTTCCACTGCTATTCGCAAGGTTTTCAGTGACTAAATATTTTGAAGCAGTGCATCTCTCTCCTTCTGCCTAGTGTGTCTTTGTCTGGAAGCTCAGCTGAAACCTTTTTACCATGGGTGACACTGCTGGTATCTTAAATACCCATGGCACAGCATCCAGAATCACAACCACACACAAACCATCATCGTATGACAAACTGACAGAGAAATAATGGACTTTACAAGGAGGCAGGTCATAATTTTTCAAAACTATATAATGCCAATAGACTGAGTTATGAAACTATGAAACTATAACGCTAAGTCTTTGAAACTGATTTTGGAAGGTGTTTGTTTATGTTTGAGGAGTAGATTAATGAACACATGTGCCTCACATTTGTCTTTACATACAGCTGCAGACATTTCGACTGTTGTCACCTACGTACACATTCTGTGTACACATCAGTATCTACCTGTATATCAATCTGACTAGTGATATACCTTGCAGAGGAGTCCTGGTGTGGTGCTGTAACATAAGCACTGGACTGCAAACCACAAGGTTGGTGGTTCAAACCCACCAGTTGCTCCTTGGAAACTCTATACAAGGTAGCTATGAGTTGGAATCGACCCAACAGCATTTAACAACAACAACATACCTTGCCGAGGAGTCTTGGTGTGGTGCTGTAGGATAAGCACTAAACTGGTAGCTACAGGGTTGGTGGTTCAAACCCTCTAGTAACTTCTTGGAAAGGGTCACTGAGTTGGAACCAACTTGAAGGCAGTTGACAAACAACAACAATACCTTGTATGGAAGATTAATAATTTAATGCATTTCTTAAAAGAATGTCATATAACTCATGAAACATACATACATATATATATGTCATGTTATAGAGATTAATAATACAATTGTTGTCAAGTGCCACTGAGTTGGTTCTGACTCATAATAACCCAGTATAAGGTTTCCAAGGAATGACTAGTGGGTATGAACCAACAACATTTTGGCTAGCAGTTCAGTGCTTATCCTATAGTACCACATCAGGACTTCAGTGATATACCTGTTGTTAAGTGCTGTCGAGTCTGTACTGACTCATAGTGAACCTGAACAGGGTTTCCAAAAGCAGCTGGTGGGTTTGAACTGCCGACCTTGAAGCTCACAGTTCAGTGCTTATCCTTTAGTGCCACACCTGTAGTCTCTTGATATAAAAAAAGGTCAGTCCAAATATCCCTAAGAGAAAGTTATTAAACTGTTAAGTAGCCAATGAACTGTTGCTTCACAGATGACCTGGAACACTATCAAACAAAAAAGGTATTTTTCCAACCATTTACATAGAGTGTCTGTCTCAGAGAAGAGGATGGGTGCTGGATATTTGTATAATAAATACAATTAATAATAGTATTTGTACATTATTTTTTTTTAAAACAGCAATCTTTCTTTTAAAAGCCCATACCAAAAACAAACAAAAAAACAAAACCCATGCAAGACAGAGAAAAGAAGCTATCTATTTCTTTCTTACCTGAGTTATTTCTTTCTTACCTGAGTTATTAGGACATTTAGAGTAATTGCACGACTGACTTAGAAAACTAACTTCAGACAGAGTCAAATTTGTTGACTGGTAATTAGAGCATTTTCCTTCAGGGTTGAAAACTTCAATTATTTCTTCCCCATTAACCTAAAGAATAAAACCAAAGCAAATCATTAGTTTACTATTAGACTACTAGAATTAGGCAGGAAATACGCATTGCTCTGCCCTATCACTCTCCTCCTCCTCTTCAGTGCATAGACCCTGAATTTTTAGTTTGTCAGGTAACTCCTCAGAATAGAGCAACACTTTTCAGATTTCTTTGTGGCTAGATGTGGACACTTGGCCAAACTGCCACTATGCTCTAGTAGTGTAGTGGTTACGAGTCGGGCTGCCAACCTCAAGGTCAGCAGTTTGAAACAACCTATGGTTCCACGGGAGAGAGATGAGGCATTCTGCTCCTGTAAAGATTTGCAGCCTCGGAAACCCTGTGCAGGGTCACTATGAGTTGGAAATTGACTCCAGACTCCACGGTGCTTACCAACAACAACAACCTTTTCCTACTCTGTTTCTTCCAATGTAGATGTGATGGCAACCTACGGATGACATAGTGACTGTGGTAGAAATTTAAGTCTTGAAGCTGAGATGCTGCCAAACCAACTCTGGATGGTCTGCATCTATTTTTTATTTTTGTAATCACATGGGAAAAACAGTCTTTAAGAGTTCTTATCTAAAAAAATTTGACTTTACTTAAGTTGCCATCAATCCTTATGCTAATTAACACACAGAGTACGTGATGATGTCACTTAATAAAATGAACAAATTTTATTGGTTTATTCAAGGAAAATAATGTGGGTGACTTAATCTAGTTTTTTGTGTGAACTGAGTGACAGTTTACATGGGAGCACACTGGTTTTGCACCATTGTTTCATTGCAATGAGCATCATCATTCAACAGAGCTACTTAAATTTAAGAATAAAAATTGCCCTCAACATTTCTGAATTTTCTTTTTCTTCACTGATAATAATCTAGGGATAGAAAAAGCATACCCCACCTCCTACATTTTAATGTGTCTTCAATCATGATCACTCTTACAATAAAAAAATTTTTTTTTACAGTGTATAGTGGATGAAGTGGTATGCATTTTTTTGCGGGGGGAATAAAATAATTTATTTAATTTCATATATTTGATTGTTAGTATGAAGATTGAGCATACATATAACAAGTAGGATAATTGGCTTCACACCTGGAAGGTTAAAACTGCAAAGACACTTTTAAAAAGCAAACCTGACAGCCATTTTCAGTGGCCCCCACAGATGCTTAGTTCACAGCCTATTTTCTAAGTAATATACACTTTTCTTACCAGAAAGTTCAGTGTGACTGAATTGATGGCAACATGGAGAGGTCAGAGCACTGACATTTAGGTTTCTGAAATACTGTCTTATTAAGTTTATTATGCAACAGCCACGCATTGCTTGTATTGAAAATGAAACACATTTGGTATTTGGATATATTTTGAACATTAAGAATATATGGAGGCAATCCTGAGCCCGCCTCTGGGGCAGAGTGGCTGTATATAAGATGAAAGCTCTGAAAACTAGTTTTTAAAGACTACCTTTTGCATTTAAATATATAGAATCCTGTCATATTAAAAATTTAAAGGTTTTTATTGTGAATTGAGTGATAGTTTACATGGAATAACATCGGTTTTGTACTCATCAAATCGTATTTTGTTTCATTGCAATGATTACAATTCCCTCAATGTATCATCATTCAACAGTAGTTGTTTCTATTCCCTGGTTTTTTGTTTTGTTTTGTTTTGTTTTAACACACACAAAGACTAGCTCTTGTGCTGAATTATCCCGACACACACCAATCAGATGTCAGTTACCACCCCAAAAGACCCCTGGCCCAGGATTTGGTGACATCGAGTCCTGCTTCATTCCTTTGTGTGGCTAACCAGGCTGGACCTTTTTACTTCTGGCTGTTTGGCAAAGCTCACTCTCTTGCTCTGGATCCTGCACCTGGCTCATCTCTGTCGGACTCCCAGTTTTAAGACTTGATGTGCCAGTTTCTGCAGTCTTGTGAACCAAGAGCTCTATTTGGTGTTGAGCAAGGAGAGTCCTTCAGACTGAGGTGATGATGGTGGTTGTTGCTGTTGTTCAGTACCATCAAGTCTATTATGACTCATGGTGATCCTGCATAAGGTTTCTAAGGAGTGGCTGGTGGGTTTGAACCCAAGCCAACCTTGTGATTAGCAGTCCAGTGCTTATCCTGCAGCGCCACACCAGGTGAGAGCTATGGATTAGGGAATACGAGTGTCCAGACCGTGTGTTATTTCTTAGATGATTTGTGAATTCTGTGAGATGTTGCAGTGAATTTTAGAAACCTGGGACATCAGTGAGGATGCTGAAGGGAGGAGTGGTGGTTGATATCAGGCATTATGGTATAGGATTTTGGAAAAGTCAGACATTTGGGATATCTTTATCCTCTACTTCACAGGGATCAGCCTTGGATTGATCTTTCTAAAAGAAATTATTCTTACAACACCATTAATTCAAATATACCAGTTCTTTGGTCTTCCTTACTCATTGTTTGGGAGTGCTGTGGCTTTGAAGGATAAACACTAGACTACTAACCACAAAGTTGGCGGGTTCGAGTCCACCCGCTGCTCCGGGGAAGAAAAATGAGGCTTTCTGCTACTGCATAAACGTATGGCCCCTGAAAGTCCTATATACGGTCACTATGAGTTGGAACCGATTCAACAGCACCCAACAACAATTCATTATCTAGCTGTCATATGTGTATGAGGCAACTAAAAATACCTTGGCTTGGGTCAGGCACATCTTAGTCCTCATAAACAGTGGTTATGTAATGATGTCAAAAGTTTGACTTGACTGTGAAATTCCAATCTTCATGAGAAATTCATTAGTTATTCTAGGGCAGCATATCATCTGGAATACTTCCTGAGAGATTTTAACTCCAGCAAAAATGTTGGCCGCCACAAGCATCCAAAGTCCTGGTTTGTAAGGTTTTATGTAAATTTAACAGAAACTCTACCCTTCTCTCTTTCCTCCGTGTGCTGATATCCAGAAAGAAAATAAATAGCATTCAGCATGACTAATACTAGAAATACACAAAAATTAAGTTACTTCAGTCATGTGAAACTGAAGACTTTCTGAATACACAGGAGAAGGGAGTATTGCTTTATCTCAATCTATCTTGTATAAATAGCAAGACATTTTTACTTTTGTGTCTTAATTATTTTTGCTTTATATTTCTTCTGCTGTCATGTCTTTTTAGCACTTACTATACACCAAATCACAAATGTGAGCTAAGAGAATGAGTTGAAAGCAATTGAACTTAATGTTTTGGGTCACTAAATACATTTAAATACATTAAATCCAACGCATGTCAGAAACCAGCTGAGATTATGTTTACAGAATGGAGAAAAATGTCTCAGCACTGCAGTTTACATAGAAAGAAAAATTTAAAAGGAGCTCCAGACTATCTTGCATGGGATACACATGAAATAAAACAATTCCATGAAGTGAAGATCCAGTTGTGATAGTCTTAGAGATGAACTTTACATGCCAGAAAGAAAATCATTAAAGAGATATGTCAGCCAAAAAAGGAAGACATACCTGTAGCCTTACAAAAAACAGACATAGAATTATGCATTAAAATAGTTTTAATATAGCAATGCCAAATTTCTTTTCAACAACCTTCTGTGGTTTAAGCTCTTATATTTCATTATGTAGTAAAGCATTTCCTTAGCCTTTAGAAACCAGGTAAGTCAGTTTCCCTTGCCACCATTTTTTTCCTTTACTAGTATCTGAAATTTGACATTAGAGGCTCACTTCTGGTCAACATTAACCCAAAGGAGCAAATCTATACTTAATTACATTCTTATTCTTTTCCCTCAGTTTGAAGATTATCAAAAGAAGTCTTATACATTAATAATAATAACAATAAATTCCAGTAATAAAACTATGCATTTAAATAGTAAGCTTACCTAGGAATTTATAAAGGTGTGCCAGATAAGGTAGGGTGAAATGTGGGGTTTTCCACTGTGTACTTTCACTTACCAAGTCCTATTGTTGTTGTTAAGTGCTATTGAGTCGGTTCCAACCCATAGCGACCTTGTATAGGGTTTCCGAGGAGCGACTGGTGAGCTTGAACTGCCGACCTAGCAGTTCAAATGGCTTTGCAGTCTGGTGCATTAACTCACAGTGCCACACCAGGACTCCATACTAAGACCTATTAGAGTTCACTAAAACATTTTCTTATTAACCACTATGAGGGCAAGTCAAAAGCATTGCTACAAAAATCATAGAAACCTCTGTGAAACAAAAATACCAAAATGTGAAGCTACTGTTTCTCAACAGATCCTCCTAAATCTAGGTTTACACACTTTTGAAGACAGGGTTTCTATCTCTCTAACCCTTCTTTGAAGAATCTGTCATCCTTTGATTGATACCATGTCACAATATCAGTTTTGGAGTCCTCAAGGGACTCAAATTGTGTTCCCTTCCATTGTTCTTTGAGTCTTGGGAACAAAAAGAACACTGAACTGCCAAGATCAGAGCTGTAGAGTGGATGGAGTAAGGTTTTCCAATGAAATTCTCATAGACAGCTTTTTCTACCCTGGAAGGCTAAACAGGTGCATGGTTGTGATGTAAAAATTATTCCTTGTTGCAACTTTCCTGGCCTTTTTTCTCTCTCACCCAATGCAGTTTTCAATTTTCTTAAAACTTCTTAATAAGTCCCTGATTATACTATATCCTCTGAGAAAAATTGATCAAGATTTCCCATTTAGATTCCCCCAGAATAGTTGCCCTAACCATCCGAGTTGACTTCTGTGTCTAGGAGTTTCGCTCAGCAGATGCCCTCGGAAGCCACTGTTTTCACTGGACCCTTTTTGTGAAGACACCCTAATGAGACTAAGACAAGTGTATTGTTGGGAGAACTTGCCTGCAACCATTCACCGACTGCAGAAACACGTTTAGACACGTTTTTGTTTGGAATAAACCTGTAGATATGTGAAGCGAAACCCTACTAGTCACCGCTTTTGACTCACTCATATGTCTAGAAAAGACAACTGTTCAAATATATAATCACTTTGGTTTAAAACTCAAACAAACGTGTGTTTTGTTTTTTTTTTAAAGATAAATTAGTCTGACATGAACGAAGGCTAGCTTTTATTTACCTTGGAGAAAGAACTAGTAGGAGTTAGGGCAGGCTTGTTGCATGGCTCCACACTGTGATAACCTGAGGGGAACCACAAAGTCAATCAGTTAAAAACAGAACAGAGACATGAAAGAAAAAGAAAATTTTTATGGATATTATTTTTATTAGTACACTAAAACAGTCATATCACAGAGAAATTTAAAACCAAGCAACTAAAATAAAATATTAGAGAAAGGTTTATTCCAAGAAAAAAGCCAATTTCTTAAAAGAAAATACTTCATATAAAAGCTCAATTCCAGACAAATGGCTTAAGTGAGAGTGAAAATTCTTCAAACCTAGTGGGAAGAGACATCAGAGATACTCAGTTATATTCGATACTAAAAGGAAGACAGCCTTTATATTATATCGTAGCAAATGTCAAATGATAAAGGCTTTCAATTTAACCCAGACAAATAAGTTATTGATGGATACAATCAAAAAAGGATGTTTAATATATTTTTAAACCAAAAGCTAATTTCAACTCGTATCCATTAGCATAAAAAACAAATACATATTAAAATGAATAATTCTGCTTCTCTTATAATTAAAAAGTCACATATTTAAATAATTTGATAGACTGTATTTTCCAGATTTTTGAAAGATAGTAGTCTAAAATGTTAAAAAAGAAAAAAGAAAAGATGTAATACAGCCAAGTGTCTTCAAGGAGCTGTATCTTGTATTTAAGAAAAACCTAAAAATAATGAATTCTCTTCTACATGGAGAGATGAGGGTCACCATAAGTCGGAACTAACTTGGTGGCACTTAGCAACAACAACAACAACCTGGAGACATGAGGGTTTTGATGAGATGAAATTTTTAAGGATACATCTTTATAATTTTGTACCTGATATTACAAAGAGCCCAAGAATATCTTTTAGCATCACTATAAAGAGGTAGAATGGATTTACTAGATGTTATGTATGAAAAACAATGGGAAAGACACCAATTATAAACCACTGGTTTTAACAACAAATTGTATCTGAGGAGTATGAAATATAATAATTTATTATTTATAATCTCTCTCTCCTGTCCTCTCCTCTGACATTTTTCCCCAGGCAACCAATGATGTGGTTTTTGTCACTATAGATTAATTTGTGATTTCTATAATTTTATGTTAAGTGGAATCATACAGTACAAACTTTTTTTTGGTTTGTCTCCTTACACTTAGTATAATTATTGTGTGGCTATTTTATTTCAAAATATTTTTGCATTATCAACAGTCCATTAAATTTTTTTTTAATTGCTGAGTACTAGTCCATTGTATAGATACATAGGTAGGTATGTGTTGCCTAACATCCATGATTTCTTGTTGTTGCCAGGTGCTGTTGAGTTGGTTCTGACTCATAGCAACCCTGAATATGGTTTCCGAGGAGCAGCTAGGTGAGCTTGAACCGCCAACCCTGTGGTTCAAACTGACTCTGCAGTCCAGTGCATTAACCCACAGCACCACACCAGGACTCCATTCATGATATGAAATAGGACATTATATGATTACATATTAAAATGTATGGAAGTCTGCTTTTGGTCATTTCATCACCACTTGTGTTGCTAGAACTGCTAGTGGAGGTTTAAGCAATAAACAGTGGTGGTAGCAGTGGCTGAGAGGGTGATTATTGGAACAGAGCAAGGGGAAGTGAGCAAGGAGGAAGCAGAGTGCCCAGTTCTGTCCACTGCAGAGTCCATACCCAGAGCCATGACCTCTGCCTCACCTGCCTGAACCCTACCCGTGTCCCAGTGCTTTAAGAGTCTGGGCTTGTGGTCTTTAAAAGCATTTTGTTGTTGTTGTTGTTGTTAAGTGCCATCGAGTCGGTTCCGACCCATAGCGACCCTGTACAGGGTTTCCGAGGGTGTAAATCTTTACAGGAGTAGAAAGCCTCATCTTTCTCCCGTGGAACAGCTGGTAGTTTCGAACTGCTGACCTTAATGTTCGCAGCCCGATTCGTAACCACTACGCTACCAGAGCTCCTTTAAAAGCATAGATGGAAATAATAAACAAAAGGAGAACTACCTTCCCTTAAAAAGCAAAAACAATCTTTTGGGATCACGGTTTATCATATATGCAATTGGATGTTGCCAGAAGACGAGAAACACGTCATACCTGTATTAAATCGGTTTATCCATCTCTGTTTTTGGACCTTTGAATTTGAAGTTTTTTTGGTTATTACAAAGAGAGCTGCTAGGAAAATTCTTGTACAAGTCTTTGCATGGATGTATGTTTCCTTTTTTCTTGAGTAAATAAAATACCTATGAGTGAAATGGCTAGATCATATGATAGTCTTATGCTTAACACTGTATCAAATTGCCAAACTGTTTTCCAAAGGGGTTGTATCATTTTACATACCCAGCATTGCATGAGAGATCCTGCCTGTTATTGATATTAAAGAATTTTACAACTCATGAAGAAATTAGTTCTGTGGGAATAGAACCAGAGAGCTACATAGTCAGACCACTAGGAAATTTCCACAAGGGTGGCAGGTCATAGCTACTCTCTTCAGTTTTGAAAATCATAGTAGGAGTCATCTCTGAGGTCACTAGAAAAAATGCTTGCTGACTGTTCACTGAGCTAGTCTGACTCTACAGTGACCTGGAACTATTAGACAGCAGTAAGAAAGACCCCAAAGACATTCAAGATAACAACAGAGGAGAAAAAAAGATAAGCTAAGTTTTATCTTTCAGAAGAGAAACAACAACTGTAATAATAAAGTGGTTTTTTTTAAAGCTACTATTGATATTTAGAGACTTGTTGTTTTTGTTATTAAATGCCACGAGTTGATACTGATTCATAGCAATGCTGTACAAGGTTTCTAAGGAGCAGCTAGGGGGTTTGAACTGCTGACCCTGTGGCTCCCAGTTCAATGCTTATCCTATAGCACCAGACTAGGAGTTCTATTTAGATACTACTGCCTGATAAGCCATAAATTTGGTTTTGTATGAAATCCTGAGTATACAGTTCAAAAGCTCTAAATCCCACAATATTTTTTTGTTTCTAACAATCTTATTGGGGTTCCTGGGTGGCGTGAACAAACTGTTAAGGAACTTGGATGCTTAACTAACTGTGAGGTTGAAGGTTCCAATCCACCCAGAGGTACTCAGAAGACAAGCCTAGAGATCTACTTCTGCAAAACCAGTCACTGAAAACCTTATGCAGCATAATTCCACTTTGACACATATGGCACTGACTCAAAAGCAACCGGCAACATTATTGTATTAATACTAGTAATAAAAACCAAATTCACTGACCCTGATTGTGCAAGCGAGATCATGAAATCAGGCCTTCAAGGTTTAAATTGACTATTAACTTGTTTCTTCTTCATGCCTTAGTTTCCCTTTCTATAAAATGAGGATAATAGTAATCCTATTTCACAGGACTGTTGTCAGGAGTAAAACACTCAGAATAATGCTTGGTCCAGAATAAGCATTCATGTTTACTACTACTATTGTAACTACAAAAACTATTTCTATTATAACGCTATAATGAAAGGCAGATGCTTTGTTTTGCTCACTGTTATAGTCCAGAACAGTACATCTGGCACAGAGCAGAAATTCAATAAATGTCTGAATAAATTATTATGTGGCAAGTACTGTGATGAGTGTTTCATATATATTATGTATTATTATATTTATGCCTCATTATATGGTTATAAGGTAAAAACTAATGATGCCCTTTTTATTACTAATTTTCATATCCTTACTTTACTATTGGGAAACAGAGACTAGTATATGGATCAAATAACTTTCTAAGGTCACATGTTGTTGTTGTTAGTTCCATCGAGTTGGTTCCGATTCACAGCGACCCTATAAAGGGTTTTCAACGTCACATAGGGCTCATAAACTCAGGTATGTTGTTGTTGTTGTTAAGTGCCATCGAGTCGGGTCCGACCCATAGCGACCCTGTACAGGGTTTCCGAGGGTGTACCTAGAGCTAAATCCTGTGCTCGGCCATTTCCTATTATACACTGAAATTTTTAAAAAGTTTTACTTAGATGTGATTTATTTTTTCCTATAAAAAACAAATTCTGGATGGACAATTAAACCATTTTATTGATGGGATTCAAACTAGATGCTGGAAAACAATTGTGTTCTAAAATGAACATACCCTTACCATTGGCCTTGTGTGGCTTTGGACTTGAATTGGCAGCCCTCTTCGCATTGGGCACTACTGGATGTTCATCTCTGTGTTGTAAAAAGAGAAAAGATCACTGCAAATTTGAAAAGATATTTGCTATAAAAAACATTTGAACTTATTTGCTAACTATATAGCCTCAGGAGTTTATTTATTTATTTACGTCATTATCTCTGTCTCCATCCCTGGCGTCACTGCCTCTCTGGGTAGGGTCACGCTCTCCATTCTTTTCACTTGATGGTCCCAGGGACCTCTGCTCCCGGGCTACAAAATCAATCACTCCCCTCCTTTTGTCAAAAAACATCTACCTCTCTATTTCCTACCCTCACAGTTAGTCCTGATGGCAATTATTCACTATTGCACCACAAGAGTCTTATCCCCATTTCCTTTTGCCACCCTGGTCCCAACAGATTGGAAATCATTCAGTGGATTTCCTACCTACCTCTGCCCTGCCTGGAACTAGGCTCCCTCTTGAAAGCTTGTAAGCCAGCCACTTCTTGCCTTTGTAGTCCCCGGTCCCAACCCTTTTTGGGTAGCCAATGTCTAAGTTGCCCATCCCTGTCAACCCTGTGTACCAAGAGGGTGGGAGTGATCCACGCTGTAAAGATTTGTTCCCTTTTTTGAGTTACTACATCCATACGTATATGTAAAGTTCACCAAATTGTAGTGGGTTACTCTTTTTTTTCTTCTTCTTCCCTCTTCTTTCTTCTTCTAGTCGAGTTCTGATCATTCAGGCCATCGAAGCCAGGCAAGTGGTACTATCTGCAAGTATGAGTGTTCTTGTGCATGTCCACTGACTTCGTATCAGCTGGACGCTTCATTCTCTGCTCTAGTCCTCTGTGGCCATGTCACTGCCTCTGGGCTCAGGAGTCCCCGGGTCTTGCTGTAACTGCTGGCCATCCAGGTCTCCCCCCGGGTTCACAGGAGTCTATTGAATGTGGTCGGACTTAGATCCCAACTTCATTGCTGTTTTCATGCCCGCCCCCCCCCCACTTCCCCTTATCAGTGACCAATGTGGTCAGCAGCCAGACCACATGCCTGTTTGTGTATTCCCCTTAAGTCTTAGTCTTGGAAGGGAGTTTGCTCTTAGGGGACCCGACCACTTGCCTTGATGGCTCCCGGGCGAACAGCTTACTTGTTCTTGTAAAAATCAATCGTACTGCCATTATTGTTTCTGATTTTTCCTGCTGGTCCTTCTTCATGAAGTATCTTCTGTTCTAGCCACTTCAGGCTGGTCTACTCATCCTTTCCGGTGGAAATTTCCCACCTCAGATAATTCTGGATGGTTCCTAGTTTCCACCTATGGTCTTATGCAATGCACAAACTCAGGAGTTTATTTTGAGGCAAAATTTTGCAGCCTTCATCTATATAATTTCTAGAGGGAGAAATATTCTTAATACTTCTTGACATAATCTTTCTTTGAGTTTCAGTTCAATACTTGAAATACTCGTAATAATATTCATGATCTAACTACAATTTGATGTTACTAGGTGATAGTTTAAAGGTAACAGAAATGATTTATCATCTTAAAACACTTACATTTGTTTTCTTTTCAATTATTTAAAGCAAAAATCTAGACACATTATTTAGTTTTACTTAAAATGAATAAACAGCCAAAAAATACCCAAGGGCATGTCAAAATTGTGTTTTTTTGTTTTTTTTAAAAAACATGTTGCTGTAAAACATTAGCATAGCACACTTTCATGAAAATACCTAGGGAGTGGGGGAGGTTTCTGTTGGCAAACCAACATAGAAGGCAAAAATCATTTGCATAAAAATACAGTAATGTAACACCTTGTCCTTATGAAAACACAGAATTAGTATTCAATCTCATTATTGCTGATGCTGGGAAGAGGGAGGTTGTCTAAGGTGTATAGTGTTGGGATAGGCAATTGGCCAAGAGCCCTGGATGCTCTTGCTAGGCAGGTCAAGAATGCAAGGCCATTTTTCAAGGTTGTGTTACTGTAACCTTGAGGGACGATGCAAACTACCTCTCATTTGAAACAGCAGGCGCTCTTACAGACTTAAGACAGCATTATGTTCTCCAGGCTCAGTGTCCCTCTCCTGTAATGTAACCCACTGTGTGTGCAGGCACCCACTATAACCATTTGTGTTACCTCTATGGAGCTTGGGGAACCAGGGGAGCAGATAGGAACATCATACTCATTCTGCTTGCTGTGTCACTGAAGTGCGTCACACTGCAACACTAGGGCAAAGCATTCTAATTGGTAAATATAGTGACCACTCAATTAACTGCAAACATATATCCAACTATTTATTCATTTAATGTACTCTGAGGATCAACTGTCTACGGGGGAGTTTGTTCTATTCTAGTAATCTCTGACACTTTTCAGTGAATTACTAATGCAGAAATGTTTTTTGAGAGAACATAAGTATGGAGAGAACAAACAAGATGGCGGATCGGGTGGACGTGTAGCAAAGAGTTCTGCCAACAACAACACAGAATACCTGACCAAGCAGTCTCAGGGGATGGTCCCAGAACTCTGAACCACATATAAAGGAATATTTAGAAGGTTGGAAGGCTCACACCTAGGGAAATTTGTGGCAGAAGCAAGAAATCTATTGCTTTCTAGTCCGGGACACTCGGCTGCTCCAGGAGCCGCCATCTTGAGTGAGACCATGAGGGGGAAGGATTGGAGCAGCCACAGACACCTGGCAGAAGTGCAGAGATAAAGGTGTGGCAATTCTTTTCTTTTGGTATCTGTTCACTGGTCCCTTACTATCTGCACACCTCCATTCTGGTGACTATAGGGGTGCCTGAGCTAGTGGGCACCCCAGCCCCACCCTCGGAGGGTTCTACTACGCATGTGCATAGATAGCTTTGAAATTTAAAGAGACAGTTTCCAATTAAAACCAAACAGTAACAGCCGGCACTGAACTGTTTCCAACTAGAAAAAAGGACTGAATGGGGATTGTGGAGCAGGACAAGCAGATAAAAGAGGAAACAGGCCGCAAATTAAATCCTCAGTTACGTCAAAACGACCAACAGTGGTATCTTGAAACTTCTCAGGAAGAAGAGAGAAAAGGGTAGCCATTTCCTGATCACATCTACTTGGAGGCATTCAGAAAGCATAAAAAATACCAAAAATACTACCCATCTAAGTATTAAGTCCACAGATAACACCTTCAAGATGCCCAAAAAGCAGAAACAGATGACCATATCTGTACATGTCCAGAAACAAGATAAAGTGACTGAGGCAAATGAGCTGGAAGGAGACCTACACTCCATATTGGAAGGTGGGCAGGCTTTGGAAATGCCTGAGAAGGAATTC